AAATTCAGTAAGAGGTTTAAAAGTCAGCTTTTTAAAACATTATCTTGCTGGAAGGAAAGAGAACTTCTCCTCAGGGCCAGAAGCGGGGTGGCTGCACACGGCAGCAGGTGTAGGAAATGAACCTGCATGACCAGTTCCCTCACACGCACCTGGGGACGGACAAAAGGATGCGTGGGCACCCGGGATGCAGGGTGGGAAGACGCTGAGCTGCTGGACATCTCGGCCTCACATCTCCTTATTCTTCCTTGCTTTTCCGAAAAGCTTTTCTGCTGCTGTTTTTCAACATGGTAACATTTTCATTTGTGCTGACCGATGTACTTGTGTCATATCGGAATTATGCCCAGCTTTTATAGTACCGTCCTTCCTTATAAGGATGTGAGAAATAAAATTTTCTCACCTCTAATACAAAGTTCTGCAAAGTAGCTGCAGTATGAAAGCTTTGTGGGGTACTGGGGTGGATGAGGGCAGGGAGGTTGAGTCCCGTCTCAGATGGCTCCCTTAAGAGAGGACCTACCTAGGAATGGGCTGATGGTTTTACCACTGGGCTTTAAATTCTTTATTAACCTTTCCAAGTTGGGACTTCTTTTTTCAAAAACAAAATAAACAAAGACAATGACAAAAACAAAAACAAAATAAAACAAAACCGCATCAACAACAATAGCAACAAAATAAAGCCTTGTTTTCTATCCCCGGAAGATTTTACAGGTTACTAGGTAACATTACTGGCTTCCAAGTCAGGAGTTTGCTGAAAGAATCCACTCGTAATATGTCTGTATTTCTGAACAAAAGCAGTAACAAGGCACCTTTTATCCAATTGCTCAACATCTGCAGATGAGTTTGGTATTATCTCAGCCCTTGGGAGTTAGGAGATAGGTACCTTGACTTAACAATGGTTTTTGCCTGAGCAGCTCATTTATATAATTTCCACGCTTATGTAATGTCACTCATGTTCTGTTCTCACTTAGCATAACTTGAAGTACAAGGAATGCTGTGTCTTGTGGTGCAGCTATTATAGCTCATAAAAGCACAAACAAAATCCACTTCCTCTGCCTCGCAGGAGATCGCTAATGGTTCTGAACGTGCAAACAAGCCACCAGGTTGGACACAGAAACAGCCATTGGATTGTTGAGTATTAAAAATTGGTTTATTTTTCTTTCAACATGAAAGAGTTTATCTTTTTCAAAGGGCACATGCTACCTGGAGAGAAAGCCTTGTCCTTTCTGTTTCATGGAAGAGGATGTAAACATTTAAAAATTATTATTTTCCTCAATTCTCCCTGAAAAAAATTTCTACCAAGAGTTTGCTTTTTAATGGAAAGTCATGTCCTTAGGAAACAGCTGAGGTTGAGAGCAGATGGCTCATAGCTCGAGCGAGACCTGTTTTGATAATATCAAATCCTGTGTTGGAGGCTGATTGATCCGGACGCACCCCTCCCTCTCCTGTGCTTTTACAAAAGCGCCTTTCCGGGTGTGCAGTAAAGTGTTTCTTTTTCCAATCTACATGGTTCCTCATGACTGAGCCTGCTCTAAGAAGGGTTACACAATCTGTGCGCTCAACTAATGACACCTTAAAAAAAAAACCCACCCAAAACAAACCCCACTAAAATTATTTCCTAGTTGAAAAAAATGCATAACTGAAATCCAGTCAGTAGTGTCATCCTGACCAAATACTGTACACCATTTCAACGTAGATGTGTTTTTCACGAGCAGGAGGGCTTTTGGATGACTTTTAAAACTTTTACTGTGAAGGAGAAAGCAAATGTAAAATAATCAGATTTCTTCGATAAGCATAAAGATTTTTATAAGAATGTAGTATGTTACATCTGTTCCTAAAGTCTTTTCAAATGAGAGTGATTTGGATTTCTTAATCATTCGATCAATTCCAGTGTTTTCCTAAATTCAGTCACCACAGGACAGCACAGGTTGGACCAGTCTGGGTCATGTGATATGTAATTAGCCAATCCTGGTGTCTGACAAAACCTCTCATCCTCTCCAAATTCTCAGTTCCTCCCCCTCCCAGTGAACATGCACCACCCTCCCCTCCTGTTGTATAAGTGAGTCATGGTGGCTTCTGTGTGTTGGCCCCTACTTTGTGGAATTTTTGACTATAAATTGAAACCTTCTATCTCTGAAGCCCATAAGTGTCAAATTCATATTTTCATTCAATTATTTAAAACCATAAAACTTATAAGTTTTATGGTTTTAAATAAGCAAAGCTTAAAACATGAAAACTACCTGGTTTATGTATCTTGCAAACCAGCAAAATTTAAACCAGCAAAATTTAAAACCATAAAAATGACCTGATTTGCATGTCCTGTGGAACATTTCCCAACAGCTGCTCACCATTGACAGACAGCACCTCAGCTACAAGGTCCCAAACTGTTATTCCCAAAAGGGGTCCTTCTGAGCTCTCTCACTGAGCTGTCGAGCAGCAGCACTGAGACTCCAGGGCCTTCCCTTCTCTGCAGTTTCTGAACCGACATCTGCTGAGGGGAGCCTTCCCTTCCACCCAGCCCTGTCTAGGTGCCACCTAGTGACACTCATGTGTTGCTGTCTCAGATTCTTCAGACCTCTGACATTGTCCTCTTTCCAAGTCCTATTTCTTTCCTTCCTCATGTTCCTCCTCCTCCATCTCTCTCTTTCCTTTCTCCTTCCCCGTCTTCTCCTCCTCCTCTGTTATGGCTTAAATGTGATATGTTCTCCAAAGACTCATGAGTTGAAGGCCTGGTGCCCAGTGTAGCGGTGTTCAGAGTGGGGTTTAGAGGGGGACTGGATTGTGAAGCCATGGACCTCATCAGGATTAATCCACTGAAGAGTTCATAGCCTGAGTGGGCTGTTGGCAGCTCAGTTGGAGGAAATAGGTCATAGAGCGTAAACTGAAAGGTGTATCTTGTCTTCTTTTCTCTCTGTCTCTGCTTCCTAGATGTCACAAGGTGAGCATCTGTTCTCTGCCATACCCTTCTGACACAATGGGTCACCTCACCATAGATCCCAAAGCAACCAGGTCAAGCGCCCATGAAACCTCCAAAACCATGAGCCAAATAAATATTTCCTACTTGAAGTTGTTTATGTTAGGTATTTTGTCATAGCAATGCCAAGTTGACTAATATATCTTCTTTCTTGTACTCCTCTTCCTCCTCCTGCTCCTTCCCACTCACTGCTGTGGTCTGAGAGAAGGTGGGAGATAGGTTTGGAGATGTGCAAAAGCTGTCAGAGCATATACAGCCCTGATGATGTGGAAGACCACTGTCTCCCTGCTGAGCAGCTAAAGCAAGGAAGAAATTGCAGCTCCCTGGGTGGGCAGTGGAAGGCCACCTGACCAGAAAGCAGATGTGGTGGCTGTTCCCTCTGACCTACGTGCTCACAACCCATGCATGTGAGCACGTTCTCTGCTCCCTTGCGGCTCATGTGCACCCATGTCTATAGCTATTGATCACCTCCCTCCTGTGTGCCAGGCCCTCCTATGAATGTTAGGATGCAGTGAAGAATGAAGCAACGTATGAAGTGGGTTATGATGCACGGGGATTCTACCCAAAGAGGAGCAGGAGCTTAGACAAACGCTTCCTTCCCCAAGGCCTGGGAAATTGTGGAGGAGGGGAGAAGAGGAAGTCAGAAGGGCTGGGGCCAGCAGCCTTTATTTTTCAGTGTCAGGCCTGAATCTTGGGGAGGGGAGGTAGCAGAACCATCAGGGTCTCCTGAGAGGCCTGTAGGAGGGTTGAGGGAGCGATTGCAGTTCAGCCCCCTAAAAACACTGGGGTCACAGAGGTACCTCAGTGAATCCCCACAGTCCCAGGAATGCACTGGGTGAAAACAGGATTCGATCAACGCTCAGTGCTGTATTCTATGCAGTCTGCTAAAAGGGGACCTCACAACGTCTACACACACAGGGTCATCTGGGGATGGTGACAGTGACTCAGTAGGTTCACCTGCAGCCTGAGAGTCTGAATTTATGGCCAGCAAATGGGAGAGGCTGGGTTATGACTCATATTTTTGAATAACAAGTCTTCAGAGTTTCTTCTGTCTTGTAGTCTATCCAAGTCCTTCTTTCACCTAACCCCATTTTGTCTGACAGGCATCTATTGACTCACAATACCACTACAAGAGCTTCTGGAAATGTGGTGGTGTTGGCCTCATGCTGTTTTACTGCATTACCAATGAAGAGATCCACTTGCTGTGGGTGGAGGAGGGGGCATGGGGCATGTAAGCATGCCCTGGAAATCTAGGGTACAGGTTGCATTTTGGAGGAATCTCTCCCACACGTGGCCCACATGGCATAGGAAACTTGTTGAGTTTTCATTAAAAGATGGAGCCTGTTTGAACTTGTGTCTGTGAGGCAGTCTTGACTGTACAGCAGAGAGCATGGTGGGAGTTTGATCTGTGATATGAGGCCATGGAAAGGACTCAGCTTCCACCTGCTCCTGAGGCAGGCCTCAGGAGAATTGCTCTGAGCCTTTAGTCACCGTGTGAGAAATATGGTTATGTGAAGTCAACCTAAGGAGGGCCGGGAGAGAGAGAGGAAGAGGGAGAGAGAAATAACTGTTCCCATACATAGCTGTGTGCACCTTCCCAGCCCAACCCTAAACATGAGTAGAAAGTCTCTTAAGACAAGCTCAGCTCTCTGGCCCAGTCTCACTCACTGTAACTGTGATAAAAACCTCACACGAGAAGCATCTAGCTGAGCCCACTTAACTCCCAGATTTATTTACAAAATAAGTGGCTTATTCTGACACCATTTCAAGTTGGTTTTTAGCACAGTGCCTGATGTTATTATGGTTTGGCACTAAAATGCTCCCTTCAAATCTCATGTATTTGGAAGCGGATTGCATCATGAATTGGTGGATATATCTGCTGATAAGTTTAGTAGCTGTGGATTTTGTTGGGAGGGAGGTCTTACTGGAGGTCTTTTCCCAGTAGATGGAGTCCTCACTGTTTGTAGTCAGGGGTATGAGCTGAAAGGGTGCATTTTTGTCTCTGTCTTCTCCTCTGTTTCTCTGCTTCTAGACTGTCATGGGAAGAGCAGATGGTGTCTGCCTGGCCCTTCCACCATGATGCTTCCACCTTGGAACCAGTCAACCATGGACAGAACCCACTGAAACCGTGAGCCAGAATAAACATCTCCTTTAGTTTTCAGCCAACAGGTATTTTATCCTAAGAGTGGAAGAGTGATTAAGACAGATAACCCTAAAAGTCCAAATAAAAATTAATCAGATTGAGAACTTGCTTGTAAAAATTTTCATACTTGGTCAAGATTTAAGTTAAGATGAAAATAGTTGGATTTCTTGATGATGGCCATTCCTTGTGGAAGAAAATGAATTATCAGTGTTGCTTTAAAATGTGTTTTTCTTTTTCTTTTGGTACCGGGGATCAAACTCACAACCTTGTGCTTGCCAGGCTGGCGCTTGTGCCACTGAGCTACACCCCCAGTTAAAATGTGTTTTTCTAATAGGAATGTAAACATTATGTACCAAAAAAAGGGGAGAAGGAGATAAATATATGAGTGGGAGGTCAAGAAAGAGGATGAAAATGAATTAAGATTTATTATGTACATGTTCCAACTTCCTACAAGGACTGTCAACATTATTTACTATAAACATGTACTAATGAAACTAAATGCATTGCTGTTAGAATTTTCTAGTACATGGAGTCTTCTTTGTCTGAAGTCAGTGTGCAAACTTAGCATCCCCCCATCTCCCTCCTCAGTCTTCATCCCCTTCCAAGGAAGAGGCTGTGTTCTATAATGCCAGATGACACATGCTGATAAACAAACAGACACCCATTAAAATGAATGACTGTCAAAAATTTTCCATGCTTATTTGTTATTAACGACTGAGAATGTGAAGGTGCAATTCAAATAGTTTATTATTGTTGTAGGTTTGTAGCAATATATTACAGTTTACGCCTTGGCTTGGAAGTTGATTACAAGTTTTATGAGACTGAATGCCTGTTATTGGCAATCCTGATGTTTTCTTTTTCTCTGTAACGTGTCACAGGCAATTGATTTATATGCAGTAAATGATTTTTTAGATTATAACATTTCAATAAAAAAATTAAAGAAGAAAGTATAGGGGAGGAGGTGGAAAGGGGATAATGGAGGCTACGTCAGTCACCATGCAGGATGGATGTTAAAGTGTATTAATAGTCCACATGTATCCGATGGAATTCATTCAGAGAACACTTTATATTCTTTGTGACACAAAAAACAGCAAGTCATCAGAGACTTTTTATAAACACAGGTGGTGCTTATTAACTGAGAAATAAAAATTTTACACTCCTGATGATTAGCCTAGGCAAGTTTTCATGTGTTCCTGCTCTTTTGGGAGATGGTTTTTATTTTCCTTCCTATTTTTCCCTCTCAATTCTGATTACTTTCATTCTATATGAACAGCTTGAGTTAGTGGTGCAGTGATACCTAAAATATCTCTGATGGATTTGGAGGGGGGGAAGATACTGGCAACATATTTTACAACGATCATCGTAATGCAACACACCATGCTACAAGGCTTAAGAAACATGGCCACGTAGTTACACTGCAGCTAAGGAGAAACTTCATGTGTGAACAGAGAATCAGAGTTTCTGTCTACAAATAATTGGCTAAAAAGGACTGATTCAATTGCCTTGTTTTATCTGTTCTTGTCATACATTGCTTGGATGATTTTTAAAAATATTGCTTGAGTCAATTCATTGTGATTGTGTCAGTATACAACCCCCACCAACCAGCAACAACCAAATTAAGAGGATTCTATCCATGCAGTGAAAATTTACAGAAACAAAAAGCTTATCAAAATGAGGGAGAGTGTGGATGGTTTTGTTATAGTATACACACCCTTGAAGAAGCAAAAGATGGCAGAAATAATTTTTGACAAAGGAGGCAACAGATCTTAGAAATTTCTAGAAGGAAAAACTGGCAGTGTAAGGAGCCACGAATTTAAACCTCACAGCACAGCAAAGTTGAGAAGCATCTGTGATCATTTGAAGCCAGTTACCCAGATGGTGGCTTGGAGACACTGGAGGACGCTGGAAAGCGTTGGATCAGGAAGAGGCAGAACAGAAATCTGAATTTAAAGCACCTTTGTAGAGATGGTGTGCAGCGCAGTCTTCAGGTGTAGGAATTCTTTCTGAATAAAATTTACTTTTTACAGCTCTTTGCAGCATTTCCATTTCTTTCTGAGTGTGCTGTAAAATACTGTACATGAGCAGATTGATGTGCATGAATATGAACAAGTAAAATACTTCTTTAGTTAAATATTACCTGTCATCTATCTGTCTATCAATCGATCTATCTATCGATCCTCTATCCTATGTCATTTATAAACTACTAAGATGAGGGCATGGAGTGTCATATATAAGTGATGAGATAATACTTAGAGAAAAATAGATTATATAAAAGGTAAGTGTGTGAATTGATGCGGGAACTGAGAGTAGGGATAATTGAGAAGCAGAGCCTAGACTGTTGGTCCTGGCTATTGGAGGGCGTCTCCCAAAGTGAGGTGCATCAGAGTAAGGTGAGAGTAAAGGACTCTCTGTACACTGTGAAGAGTTTAGCAACAGACACCATAGAACGGTGTCCGGAAATTGGTCAGTGCCTGTACTCCCTCAGTGGGAGGCTCCCAACTCAGTGTAGAACATTCCAAATTGGATGGGATCTCTGTAAACTTTTACCTCTGGATTTTGGATCAGCACTGCTACTATCGGAACCTGGGTCCACCTGCCTGGGGAGCTGCTGAGACTTTTTAATCACTGTGGTGAGCCTTTCTTGGCTGACATTGAATGAATGACAAACTAGAGGAGGGTAGGGGAAGAATAAGAACTGGCTGCTGATGGAGGCTTGAGCCTTTTTGTTTTCAGTTTATTGTCAACTATCTATGGACTTAAATAATTATTATGAAGAGTCATTCATTATTATGAATGTTAAGAAAATGTCATTTGAAGTTTGAGATTTAGACTCAAGATTGAGATGAAAAGTCCCAGAGAGGGCAAAGCCACAGAAGAGGAGAAACTCCAAATCTGTGTAACAAATCTGGATAACCCCAGCACAATGCATTTGGGGGATAGACTTCAAGCAGCCCAAAAGAGCTAAGAGAATGAAACTGAAGTTTCATAATTTATGTTTGAATGGTGCCAGTTTACCACCTGATCGAAGGTTTACTTCACAGAGATGAACAGAATTCATAGTTTCTACAATAAGGCATCCCAGCATTCAGAATATAATCTTTAAACTACCAAACACATGAAGAAAAATTTAAAAATGTAATTCCCACTTAAGGAAGAAAGAAATCAAATGGAGTGTGAGGTCCAAATGATTCAGATGTTGGTATTAGCAAACAAAGTTTTTAAAAATAGTTATTAAGAATTACTGCTCAAGGGTATAGAGGAAAATATACTTGAATGAAGGTACAAGAAACCTCAGTAGAGAATCTTGAACTATTAAAAAAACCAAAAAGAATTATATAATTAACAAGTACAATATTTAAAATGTCAAAAATTGCTACACATCCTTGACAACATACTGGACATGATCGGACAAAGTAATTAACCTTAAAATTATGCAATCTATAGGACAAATAGATTATAATTTCAACCGAAACTGTCCTAAAAATCACATTAAACTATGGAAAACATCAAACCATCTAAGTATAGTTCTGAATTCCAGAAAGAAAAGAGAAAAATGGAAAGAAAAGATCTTTGAAGTAGAACCAATATATTAATGAAATATATAAACCAATCAAAGAAAGACCTTTCACATATATAGGTACAACATTTGGTGTAATCATTGATTTTTTTCATCAATAAATCTGGAGACAAGGGAGAAATAGAGTAACTTCTTTAAAGTTCTGAAATAAAAACAAAACAAAAAACCCCCTGTCAACTCCAAATTCTATATTCATTGAAAATATTTCTTTAAAATGAAGGCAAAATAAAAGCATTTTCAAATAAAAAACAATCAAGAGAATTTGTCAACAGCAGACCTGCACGGGAAACACTAATGAAGTTCTTCTGACTGAAAGTAAACAACACCAGATGGAAATTTATATTTTTCAGGAAAGAATGAAAAACATTAGAGATGGTAAATATCCAGGTAAATATAAAAGAATTTTTCCTTTCTTATTTTCTTTCAAAGTACACATGCCTATTTAAAGCAATAATTATACAATTTTCTTGTGAACAGTATATACTCCATGTAGATGTAATACACATGTCAACAATAGCATAAAGGAAAGACAGAAGTACAGCATTGATTACAAAAATACTAAAAAATTAAGAGTGCATATTGTAGTCCCTATAACATCCACTTAAAATATGCAAAGCAGTAAAGCTGAAAAGCTGACATATAAATTAAAATGGAACCTAAAAAAAACAAAGAATTTAAAATAAGGCAAGGAAAGAGAAAATGCAGGTCAAAAACCAAAAAGGACAGATAGCAAATAAATAATAAATGATATCTTGGCCTAATTTCAAGCATATTATCAGTGCATTAAATATTAGTAGACTAAATACATTGATTAAAGGGCAGAGATGATCAGAATGAATAATAAACTAGACCCAATGATGCATTATTTACAAAAATGTTCTTTAAGTCTAAAGACATAATTATACCAAAAGAAATGGATAGAAAAAATTCCAAATAGTACAAATAGTAACCACAGGAAGAGTGGGGAAGACTGACTCTCAAATAAAACAGATCTCAAGACAAAGAACATTATCAGAGATAAAGACACGTTATAATGGTAAAGTATTTGTCAGGAAGAGGTAACAGTCATTAATATGTGTAAAGCTAATAGCTATTTCAAAATGACTTAAAATAGAATTAAAATTAGTCAAGTCCATAAAATCTTGAGACTGTAACTTGTCTTTATTAACATGCAATCAATAAAATAACTAGATATAAAAATTAATAAATCCATAAGGTAGTAGTATGATCTTATCAATAATCTTGACCTAGCTGATTTTTACAGAATACATGAAAAATCTGGAATTCATATTTTCAAGCATATACAGGTCACAGAACACAGATTATAAATTGAGGGGTCTGGGGGCCTTATGGTCTCGTGATGTTGTGATGATCAGGACAAGATCCTCATTAGTTTAAGATCACCAATACCTGAGTCATCTGATAATCCTCCTACCATTTTCCTTGATG